CTTAATAATATAAATAAATACCATATAAATATAACATTAAATCTTAAAATTAAAAATGAAATACAAATACGTGTGTATATATACTATATATATATTGTTGAAAAAGTGTCTTTTCACATTTCTTTCAAATTTTATTCAGCAAGGATGCACTAAATTGATCAAACAATTTTGAAACAAGCAAATTTCTATTTCAAATAAATGCCATTCTTTTAAACTCTCAATTTATCACCGTCCTTCGGATGAGACGTTAAACCGAGGTCCTGACTCTCTGTGGTCATTAAAAATCCCAGGATGTCTTTCGAAAGAGTAGGGGTGTAACCCCGGCATCCTGGCCAAATTTGCCCAGTGGCCTCTGTCCATCATGGCCTCCTAATAATCCCCATATATATATACACTGATTGGCTTCATCACTCTGTCTCCTCTCCACCAGTAAGCTGGTGTGTGGTGAGCGTTCTGGCGCAATATGGCTGCCGTCGCATCATCCAGGTGGATGCTGCACATTGGTGGTGGTTGAGGAGATTCCCCCCTTCCATGTGAAGCGCTTTGAGTGCCTAGAAAAGCGCTATATAAATGTAATGAATTATTATTATTATTATTATTATAGAATCCTGAAAAAATGTATCATGGTTTCCACAAAAATATTAAGCAGCACAACTTTTTTTTCAACATTATAACAATAAAAAATGTTTCTTGAGCAGCAAATCAGCATTTTAAAATAATTTCTAAAGGATCATGTGACACTGAAGACTGGAGTAATGATGCTGAAAATTCAGCTTTGCATATACATTTTAAAATAAAATAGAAAACCTTTATTTTGAATTGTAATAATATTTCACAATATTACCGTTTTTACTGTATTAAATAAACGGAGGCTTAGCATAAGACTGTGGTACATCATTCCTTAATTTAGCTGGTGCATAAAAATAACGTGAGAGGTGAATTCAGGTCATAATAAGAGTGAGCTCATACAAGAGATTAATTGAATTGCAGGATGTTCTAAACTCCTGAACATACCGGACACATGCCACACACACACACACACAACACAACCTATGAGCTTAAATTGAAAAATGAAATTGAGTTTCCCAGCCCCTGCCATCAGTGTCCAGCCATGTCATCTGCTGTTGGAATAAATAACCGTCACTGGATGGAGGGTTGAACACACACACCAGCTGCCTAGCAGGCGCCGCAGTAATTCCTTTGCCGTGCAGATGTTCTTTCAGGGCCAATGCTTCTAATTAGCTGCGTTCTTTTTTTAAAACCAAAGACCTCCAACATTTAATTAATTCAATGAAATATTAAAAATGCATGTGGAAAATGTTCATATAATTATCTGCTATATCTGATCTGTCATTAGATTCATCAAATATTTTCTATTCTGGTTATATAAACCCTTTAGACCTGCATCCCTGTCCGATACAGCATGCACATTTTCAGACGCATCCAACACTTTTAAGCCGCAGCTTTCGATTAGGATGTGTCTCGTTTGGTTTATTTTCTCTTTAGACGGCAGATAAAACAATTACTTCATCTGTGTCACTGAGCCTAGAGTGGCTAAAAGATGCAATTAGACCTTCACTTTGTGCTAATGTGGTTATCTGAAACCAATCGCATTAAAAACTGCTGCTCTCAGGACTTCAGTAACTGATGACTGCGAGAAAACATCCTGCGCTTCAATTCTGCTTCATCTCTCAGGCCAGGATGTTGTACCAGTCTATTTCATGTCTATTTTTCTCCCTAGCTGTTTGTTTATTCATTTATTTCAGCTGTTTTATTGTTTAGTCCTGTCCTTTTCTTAGGCCCAATCCCAAATGGCACACTTCATGTGCACTTTCGGTCTTGTGGACTTACAATGGCTGCCGCGTGCGCGTGTTAGGGATGGCTGACGCGAAACAGTCGTTCCGAGGCTTTGCGAGATCCCGAAGCGCAGATGATTCGAAACACTGATCCGAAGCGTGATTCAAAACACCCACGTCACGTGACTACGGCTAAATGAAGCTTCTGAGTGTTTCATCAGGTGGAGTGCTCCGCCGAGTCAGGGTTTGATTGACAGGTCGGTCGGGAAAGATCACACTATTACACACAGTATAAAAGTGAAGTCAACGCATTTTCACATTGTGGGTTTTTGTGAAAGGAGTTTGGTTTTGAGGTAGCGGATTTTTGGTGATATAGTGACATTTATAGTGCGATTTGTTTAGTTATATTTAGGCTTCCATTTAAATTTACACATTAACTGAGAGACAGAGTACATATAGTGACACATTAATAGATGCATAGATAGAAATATATATATACAGATAGATTATTAGATATATACATGGATTAATAGATAGATACATAGATAGATAGATAGATAGATAGATAGATAGATAGATAGATAGATAGATAGATAGATATATTATTAGATATATACATAGATTAATAGATAGATGCATATAATAGATTTTCATTTTCATTCAGAGCCACAAATGTCAACATCAGGCCCATCATCATCATCATCAACACCAGTAGAAACACAGGACAGTTTATGGGAACATTTTGATAATCACATCCGTGAAACCCAGATGATACACAATGCTACAGCTGATGCGACAGTGGAAGTGAAAAAATACCTCAACGATGCGTTTTTGCCCAGAACTCATGATCCCCTAACTTACTGGAAAGAGAGAGCAGTAATCTTTCCTCATTTGTATGTCCTTGCTAAAAAAATATCTTTGCATGCCAACAACAAGTGTCCCCTGTGAGAGGATTTTTTCAAAGGCTGGAGAAATTATCTGTAAAAAAAAAGTAGGCTGAGTCCTTCGACAGCAGAGAGATTGATATGTTTGAATAAAAATCTATAAGAAAGTGAGACATTGTGGCTTGATTTCTTTTATTCATTTTTCATGACCAAAATAACATTATGCAATGTGAAGAGACTACAGGTTACAAGCTTCATAATAGAAACATACAATAAAAAAACAAAAAAAAAAACAAAAAACAGTTTTTTATTGGCTCGTTGTATTAAAAATCAAAGTTGTTTCAGATCAACACCTGCAAGTGATTACTAGGTGTCACCGTGGAGACGGGTGTCGGATTGATTCGAAGCCTCGAAACAATATGGCACGTTTGCTATACTGTTTCATTGCTTCACGAAGCCTCGATCTGCCCATCACAAGCGCGTGTCCGTTAAGTCCGTGAGACCGCAGTGTGTCCCATTTGTCATTTTTAGATCTCAGAAGGGTGCTCGCGAGCGCCCCCCTCTGCGGTCGATTTGCGCCCTTGATGCGCACTTTTGCCGAGCCCGCGTTGATGCGGACTCCACAGCAGACTTCTTCCCGACATTCAAAGCGGCGTTACGTTGTGAAAGTGCGGACTCAGAGGAAGACCGCGAGTGCTTAGGGTTCCATTTGGGACAGGGCCTTACACTCTAAAAACTGCAGGGTTAAAAAATAACCCAACCTTAACCACACCGCTGGGTCACTATGGGACAGAGCACGCGCTGGGTTGGTTTGACCCAAGTGCTGGGTTTTTACCATTTAACCCATATTGCTGGGTCGTTCATTTAACCCAACCAGTGGGTGAAATTAACCCTTTGACGCGTACGATCACACCGGTGTGATCAGTCTTGGCTGGTCCCTGGAGCGTACGATCACACCGGTGTGATTAGAACGGTCAGTGCATCACGTGATCAACTGCTAAATTCAAACGTGCTTTCGCGCGTTGGCTGGCGCTGAGCCAGAGACAGACGCACTCAGTGCTGTCATATATCACAACTATTGAGTATTTTAAACCACATAATGTTTATTTTAGGTTTCAGACATTTAAATACACATAAGTACTAGCAAAACAGTGATTTTGAATTAGTAAAATAGACACTGATGTCTATGGAAACGGCAACAATAATCATTTCCATTATAATAAGACAAAACGTTTTATTCATATCAGATACACATTGTGTAAGTAGCTTTACATTTTACCCTATTCTTCTCCTAGTTCACCGGCCACTTACTTTCATGTATTTCGTGAGAAACAACAGGTCCGATTCTCTGAACTGTGAAACAAACTAACATGGCGCCGCCCATCGTGCATACAGCTCAACTAACGCGATCGTTATAAATATGTTTAAACAACAAAACACATCCACTTGCACATATTTGACAATCGGAATATCAGTGTTTCATGCTGTAGCTAATACATTTGTGAATATTTTGAATAGAAAAGGAAAAAAGACATAAAAGCAGATCATCACTCATTCAGATCTGTGTTGTGATTGCGCTGTGTCACGTGACAAGAAATGACGCGTCACCATGAAAACATTAAAGTGACAGGTTCTAAATAACGGTCGCCTTGAAAAACTCACGCTGGGGGGTCAGTTAGAATATTTTAAACTTACGTGTGAAAGGGTTAACCATCTTGCTGGGTTAAATCTTACTCATGTGCTGGGTGATTTCCTGTCTCATTGCCTTATTAAAATTAGTAACAAAATATTTAATATTTGTTATTGTTACATGTGTGTCCTGAGTTTCCCCCCGTCACTGTGTATTTGGTTTATTCCTGTGTCTCAGTTTTCCCGCTCCTCGTTAGTTCTCAGTTCCTTCACCTGTTTCTGGTTGATTTGCCCCAGCTGTGTCTTGTTTCCCATGATCCGTTCTCTGTGTATGTAAACCCTGTGTCCTCCTTCACTCCTTGTCGGTTCTCATTTGTGTATGGTGTGTTGCTGTCTCCCGTGATCCTTGTTTTGTTATATTGAGTAAAGTATATTTGAATTGGACCTGTTGACTGCTGCCTCTTCATCTGCCTGCACCATACCCGTAACAGTTATATTACGAATGTAAAATAATTATTGTCTCTGTAATACAATAAACCAGAGAGGCCACTGTATATTTGAGTTAAATCTCATTTAATTGTTCTTTTTTTACATTTTTAATACATTTCTTTAATACTTTTTTGTATACAATTATTATAGTACTAATTCCCCTTTCTTCTGTTTGTCTTTTACCCTCTCTCGTTCCTCATAGCCTGTTTGCTGCAGTCGGAGCTGGTGAATTACGAGCGGGTTAAGGAATACTGTTTGAAGGTCCTCGGACACCAGCAGGATCACTTTAAGGCCATGTACCGTGCTGGGATTGCCTTCTACCACCTTGGAGACTACGAGTGTGCCCTGCGTTACCTACGCGATGCCAAGTGCCGTGAACCCACAGGTGGGCTTTATGATCGCTTTAATATCATATACAGCGGCGCTTCTCAAATGGTTTTCTTTTGCATTGTGACTCAACACTAAATTGTGTATTAGGGATTCACCAATATTACAAATCTGTCTGATACTGATTAGCTGCTAATTATCTTCATGCTGTGGCCAATATTCTGTGTTTTGTATAATTAAAAAAAAAATTAAATGCCACCAGTGAAATTAGATACAAAACTTATAACAAAATGATATTTATCTTTGAGATTTGCTAAAGTTTACATTTAACTGTGTTATTAAATTATGAATGTTTTTGAAGATTAACTTAAAGTGAGTGTTAGGTGATGCAGAGGTAATGCAATTATAAAAATATCTGAGAAATGAGCCTGCATGAATTACCAAAATGCCCTTTAAATCAAACACTGTTTATTATTATTATTATGCATAATATTTATTAATATACTATTCGCTCCAAAACAGCCACGACCCAGTGTTATTTTAGCATTGTTTATGTACAGTTATATACAGTTATGGTATATTTTGAATTGGCTTTTATTTTTATATTTTCGGTAATTTATGCTTTTGTCATTTGTATTATTTCTTTTAAAAAAATTATTTCAGTTTTTTTTTATTTTAATAATTTATAACTTAAACTTGTTAAATTTTAGTTGGTTTTTCACCTAATATTTTATTTCATCTTTATTTCGATAAATTTTAGTAATAGTTTGTCAACAATAATGAATCATCTTCAACCCAAACGTTCAGAACTGATATATAGAATATGTGCATGTCCAGTGTTATATTATGGCTGTTATGTTATAGAAACCGGTAAACCATTTACCTGTATTTATGTTTGTTCGTGTGCATGCTTATAGAAGCAACTAAAGATTTTGAGAAGGTTTAGTCTTACATAATGAGTTCACACTGCCAGCGACACGCAGCGACATTCATTTTCAATGGAGAGCAGGCGATTTCTGACAGTGACCGTTGGCGATGCGACAAAGTCAAGATATGTTTATATTTATGCAAATGAAGAGCGGCTTTTGGGAGCAACAACCAATAGGATTCAGTGGAGCACATGTGATCCATCTATACATCCTGAAGTGGAGAGTGTTGGCGGTGTGATGTAGCTAAAGTTATTTTAGCGGTCAGCAACTTTCCTATAATTTATGATATGTTTCTGTACATACAGTGAAAGTGTTACTAGCCCAAAATGGTTTCGTGAACCCAAATAGACCAACGCTTGCACTTTCACTGCAGATAAATATCCGCGATGGCAAAGAGCACTCGTTGTTTCTCGTTCATCTTTAATATTACGCATTTTATGTTCTGATTTCATAAATATTTAGTCTTTTCCCTCCAACATGTTGTTTAGCAGCAGCCGCTTATGTGATCAAACAGCTGCAAAAGACGCCTACTCTCCGTCTACTGACCTAATGTGTAAAGATTATGGGAAGAGCTAGGCAGACGGGATTTAAACTTTGTCGGCTGAAAACACAAGCTTGGTTTGACTTTGAACATGAAAAACATACCAAGCACAATGTTCTCTCACCATTTCTGATTTCTATTCAGTCCTTCCAGAAAAACGCAGAGTTTTTTTGTGATTGTTGCGGGCAAAAATCCTTGATTATGCGGCCCGTTTTCTTTAAAAATGCGATGGAATATGCGGGATATTTATGCAATTTTATGCGATGAAATTGCGGGAACGTGCAAAAATTGCGGGAACTTGCAAAAACTGCGGTTTGATGAAAAAGAGAAGAAATGAAGTGATTCCCCCAACACCCTGTTCTCACTAGGCTACTACCTTAATGTAAAGAGTCATTTCTTATTACTTCCTATGAAAAGCATAGCCTACTACATCACAGAAAGTGCTGGGAATATTTAAGTTCTCATCTTGTTTTATTTCAGACCTTAATAAACACATCAAACTTACAAAACATTGAGTCAAACAAGTTCTGTAGCTTTACAAAAGGAATATGCTACAACTTCTGTAAAAAAAGAATAAATAAAATAGCAACATTTTTCAACTTTCTGCTAAGATACATGACCTTTTTTGCAACGAAAATGCAAGGATTATGAAATCATGCAAGCCCCGCATATTTTGCAGTGAAATCGGCAATTTATGCGACGAAAGTGCGGCGTATTTGAAAAAATGCGGCCCCCGCATAAACTTTGGCTTTGGACTTTGGCTGATTATGCATTAAATCATGCGATCGCATAATCACGTTTTTCTGGAGGGTCTGTCTAATCGGCTGGTCTTGCGGCTGCCAGAGCAGGAGCGAAAGCTGATATTCTCCATGTGTTTTCTCTTTGTCTCCGGTCAATTCATTTGTAAATTGCATGAGCTTATTTTGTCTATTAGACTGAAAGATCTGAAAGCCCATACATTTACCCGCCCATAGACCCTCCCCTCGAAGACATCAGGACAGAAGTGGATGAAAGTAGACAAAAGAGACGGATTAAAACACCAGGTGTAAATGGGTTTGTGTCTCCCTCGTCTTCCTGTGATGCGATCAAACAAAACGATGAACCTGGTATGAAATCTTAATACCAGGTGTAAAAGGGCCAAAGCCACTGGCAGTGTGAACGCAGCTTGATGCTGGTGTCTTTATTTCTTCCTCCCTTGCACTTCTTATTTTCTGTACTTCATCTTCCCTCTATCCAGACACAAACGTGCTGCGATACATCCAGCTGACGGAGATGAAGATGAGTAAGAGCAGTCATCAGGTGCGTGAGAGCGGGAAAGAGTCCTTGGGTTAAAGACGCCCACTGCTCTGCCCCTCATGCCTCGCCATAACCCTGATAGAAAACCTTGAGTCTCTCCCCCTTTTCCCACAATGCCCCCTATCCCGTGGAAAACCAGGACACATGTGCTGCGCCCCCTCTGAAAGCGGACTGAAACGGGCACAGCTACAGCACAGCGACTGTCTTTTCTCGCTCTGTCCCTTTAAATCCGACGAGAATCTGACTGATTAAGGAAGAACACGTCAACGGAAAAAGAGGAAATGCTCTATTATAATTGTATAAACACTGGGGGGGATCTGACATTAGAATTTAAAATGACATGATCGAATAAGGATATTAAAATGTGCATAATGAAAAGCATGGGTGGCTGAATTGAGTGTAGGTAAAGAATAGAGTGAAAGCACACGTATCAAAGCCACACTGCTACTTATACTTGCAGATGATGAAGGTCAACGATTAGGCTTGTGACCTTTGAACTCACTCTGATCCATTGAGAAATCCGCTCTCTACTCAATACAGAGGAAAAGCAATGTTTCACAACTAGATCTGACGCTCGCCTGTCAACCCTTGTTGCTTCGTCTCCTTTGTCTCTCTCTTGAATTTGGGCATATCTCAACTCAATTTCTGAACTGTTTCAATTCAAGGGCTAATTCAAGTGTTTGTAATTTGTCCTTTGATATCGATTTTGTTTGACAGTTTGCTGTACTATAGTGGTTTGAGCAAGTTGTTCTCTTTCCCTTTCTCAAAGGCACAACATTCTCCGTACAAATTTTAGCAGGTGTTTTGTGAACCTCGTTGTCCATTTCCCTTGTATTGGACTGTCGCTTAGCCCCGCCCCTTTAAGAGCTTCCTCATGATGTCACAGTGGTTATGCAGCCTGTTGGAAGATTAATAACTAATGGAGCTATATTGAAACGCTTGTGTTTCCGCAAGAAATGGGATCCACAACATATGAAGTGCTTGATAAGGTCTGTGAAACTTATTATATATTTACCCCAAACATCAGTGTTACAAAATAGCGATAAGTAAAACTCTGAGAATTGTAGTTGTGACAACCATCATTAATGTTTCACAAAAGCATTAAGTGTTTGTCCTCCTCTTCATGGTTTGTTATGAAAACTCTGATGATCTTTTGTTGAATGCATTTGAATGTGCAGATGCCTTTGACAGCTCATGTCAGTCTAGTTTTGGATTAATGGCTTTGAGAAGATGAAATTATCCATTTGACCTAATATCAGGCAGATTTAATTGTGTCAGTGGGACTCAGGGGATTCAGATGAGAAGACGCACTGATGAGATTCAAAACCAGTTAATCTCTTTACTGCTGTGGCACTGATAAAATAAGGTGCATTGTTATTTTTTCTTCATTCAAAAGTTTAATACCTACACTGAGCAGAACTTTTAGTTTCTATAATAAAAATGATGAATACTCACATGCAATCAAGACTCCAGTCATATCAGTAGTCTAATAAAAGCTGATTTATTCCACATGGAGTGGGTTGCCCACTCATAGGGGCCGCTATGTTGAGATCAACATGTCTAATAGTAATAAAGACAACAATATCAATAATAATAATAATATGTTCATTATAATATAGTACTTTTTCAGTGCTCAATGCACTTCACAAAACATAAACAAACGAATGCATAAGTATCATACATCCTCACCAGTAGGTGTCAGTATATACTTCTCTGGGATGAATAAAAACAAAAACTGGTAACACTTTATTTTGACATTCTGTTGACTATAAGTAACGTTGCACCTACAGTACATGTCAACTAACTCTCATTAGATTATTAGCGGAGTGTCTGCTTAATATCTGCTTTACTGTGATCGTTCTCCAACAGACATTCTCCTGACTATAAGTCACTTTGCAAGTATAGCTTTGTCAGCTTATTCTACTACCCCTACTCCCACCCCTAACAGTCTACTAATACTCAACTAAGAGTGTGTTCACACTTGGCATGTTTGGTTGTATAGATCTATACACTAGATGTCGCCTTGTGTTTCTAAGCATGCGTCAAAACAGCCGCCATCTTGGAACAGGGGTCTTGTCATAGGAAGTAGCTAGGTAACGCTGCTTTCTCCGCCTGTACTTCGAATTCATGGATTTTCTGACTTTTGTGCTGCGTATGGATGTTCACACGAACGAAATCTGAACTAGGAAGAATGTTTTTAAAATTTGTTTTTCTCTGGACTCAATGATAAATACATGTCTGACCATTGGAACAAACCAAAAAAACTAGAAAATCTCATTCATGACGATTTATGGTGATTTTTATTTCCGTTAGACCGTTGCCTACAAAGAGGAGGGGCTCCCCTGTTCCATGATGGCGGCTCTATTGACGCATTCGTTCCAATGAACTGCCGTTGCCAAGGCGACATCTAGTGTATATAAATCTATGGTTTGGTTGGATTAAAACGAAACACTGGAGTAATTGCTCTGTTAGTGCGGTTCATTTGAATAAGTGTGAACGCTGCCATCTGAACCCAAACAAGCTTTTCAGCGGCCTTGGTCCGCTTCCAAATAAACTTGTGCGTTTAGAATAAAGTATGAACACAACACGGACCAAAGACATGTAAACAAACCAAAAACGGGACATGATATCACAAGATGCGACCCTAAAAAGGACAGAATGCTCAAGCATACCCGTTTTTTCTCATGATAGTCATGATGTCGCCCATCACAGTTCAGTACAGGCATCAGAACCACGTCTCCTCGCAGCAGATCTGTGTGTGTGTGTGTGTGACGGAGGGGTTCCTGACGCTGTTTTAACTCCTTTACACATTTTAAAAGCTCTTCACGAGTTCTCAGCTGGTCATAATACGATCATATGTAGTAGGGCTGGGAAAATCACGATAATTTTTTTTATATCAGTCGATATCGATAATTATCACGATAAATGTCAAATCTTTCTTTCTTTCAAGTTTAATGGCAGATTTTTGCTCCTAAGTGAAAGTTGTAGAAACCAGTGCGTTAATTGTGGTTTTAAACTACTCTTTATTGTCAGAACATATCATGACAAACACTTGCCAAACATATATTTCTTAGTTTCTGCATGTGCTAATGGGGGATATTGTTTCAAGTCTTGAAACAGGTTTGTGTTGTCTGACTTTGATGGCACGTATCTTCAGCACAGTTTGCAGTGCAGGCTGCAATATTAATGTTACGTTTTATCTTGAAACACATTGACAGTGAGTTGACAGTAAATCTGCATCCTAACTCAAGCTAATACTACTATGTTAAATTTATGTTCATTAACAAAAACAGTAACATCTGTTAAAAAAAAAATGTAACAACCACATTTGTATTTGGTAAAATGTAATATTCTGACTTTTTGAGTTTTATTAAAATTAACCATTGGTTATCCAGTATCATGCATTTAGATCATGATAACCCCAGATAAAACCAGGCATAGCCTATAGCACCTCACTATCATGGCAAAATGTAACTTTATGGTTTCTATGGTATTTGTATGAAAAACAGTAGCCTAAATACATTATTAAATACTGTAATTATATTCCATTAGTCATTTAATACATTGTCTACATTAATAATATAATACAATTCAATATGTATATCCCACATTTCATGGTGCAGTTAATATTACTAGGCTAACGTTACAGTTAATCCATGGTAAATGGATTCAGTATCAATTCAGATTGACTGTATCGTTGCGCACAGTGTTTCTCCTGTTCGTCAGCTCTGTTTCATCTGCCTTTAAACTGGGTTAAATCACAGAGTCATTTGTGTTCTTCGCTGAATTCAAGCGCTTCTCACTGGATCTCGTGAACGAGACGATCAGAGTTAACGCGTCTGCTCCATAGTCTGCTCTAGTGAGCTCGCGCTGCCGTTTGGACTTTGAGCCGAGCGGATAAACGGTCCGTGTGGCGCGCGGTTCAAATGAGTTTCGTTCCGCTTTTGGCGCATAAACATTATCGAACATTTATCGAACTCTTGATATCGTTTTATCGAGAGAAATTATATCGCGATAATTATCGTTATCGTTTTATCGCCCAGCCCTAATATGTAGGCTACGCACATACAACGAGTGCATTTAGCCCAGAGTACAGCATAGTTTTGGATGTTCGGTAAGTTCTGTCGTGAAATAAACTAAATAAAAGCCGTCCAATAAGGTTGTGAACACATCCCTATACCTTTAGCTTCGGTGTTAAAATGCCAATGTGAACTCTAAGTGGACCAGGATAAATGTTTTTTTTTTTTTGGTCTGGACCAAACGAACTGAACTACAAGTGTGAACACACCCTTATACACCAATGAGAGTTAGTTGACATGTAGGTGCAACGGTACTTATAGTCAACAGAATGTCTAAAGGGGACCATCAAAATAAAGTGTAGCCCTAAAGCTTACTTAGTGCACCTTTTAATGCTCAAATCAACTCTTGATAATGTAGTCATGAACAAATTGGCACGAGAAATCCAGTGATCTATTTCTGTGCTGTTCCAACCCGATCCTCATGAGATAATGTAACTGTTTTGCGTGGTGGCAATTTCGTATGATGTGATTTGTATAGAAATGTATGATTATTTCGAAAAAAGTAAGCATGAAGGTCATCCTCTAACCCGACCCCTAAACCTGACTTTCAGTGGGGCGTAAGCAGATCGTACGAAAACCTACAAATGAGATTTTACCAATTCATACACCAAAATGTAAAGTGGTTACGAATTGCCATGAGAGTGTGTTGGCTGTTCTGACTCTTTCCTTCTTTCCAGCTGTCTCTTGTCTCCTCTGTTTTGTGGCAGTTCTCTCTCCACCTTACCTTTGATATGTTCTTTGGATTTCTGTATTTCTGTACATGATAACAGTCATTTCGTCTGTAACCGAGCAATGCTGACAATGTCCTGTATGGAATATCGGTCAACAACTTTGCATCTTTCAGCTGTGGTCCATATGTCCCCATGTGCTGGATCTCCTTCTGCACAGATGGAGAAACATTAAATCTGACTGTTGTCAATAGACAACAAAAAAAGCACAAACTGGTTTATGGACAAGCAAATAAACTTAACTGTACTTTACTTTTTCTTGGATGTCACTTGAGGTATGTGTTTGTTGAATGTCAAAGTAGACTTGTGCGGTTTAAAGACATATTAAAATGGTTGTCGAAAGCTTTACTTTATTAAATAGTTTTTTGATCAATATGTGAGAGAGCAAATGAGAAGGATACATAAAGGAGATTTATGGAAAATATATTTAACATTG